TTGTTTTTTTATTGCGGCAGTTTTATCGCTCAGTCTGATTTGGTCAGACTCTGAAGATCAGACTACACGTTTGGCGAATGGTATTGGGTTCATTTCTGGCTGATTCCAGGTTGTTCAGCTGTTCTTCTGTCACAGCTGCCGACTGAAAAGCTGCTCAGTGGTGATGACAGTTTGGGAATTTAGTGTCGTCTCATCTTCAGAGTCTGACCAAATCGGCTGTCGGTCAAATGTGATCTTAACAGTGTCCATTTTCTGTTTGTGGCAAAGTAAGAAGTAAAAACACTGAAATGTCTTGAGCGTCTCCTACAGCTGTCAGAGTCATTGCTTAGCAACGGCGTCTCAGCGGAGTGATACAGTGTTTGTGAAAAACCTGTGATTTTATGGTGAAATAACAGCACCGTTAGAACACTTCTCAACCAATCAGCTCGCGTGGCCGAAACTAACTGTTGTATAAACCCTGTTACTTCAGCACTGGAAGTGGCTGTATTTGTGTACACATCTTCTGCAGGGCACTAACTTCAATATGATGTTTTTCAGCAAATTTAAGTGCACGATTTTTTTATTTATTTACTAAGTTCAACATATCGGGGGAACAGTGTCAGCTTTTGCACAGGCCACATGTTTTATATCGCTGCTGTCGGAAGAAAACCTGGTATCTCTGTTTGGGTCGTTTTTCAGTTTTTGCCATAATCTGAAAATGCCTGTTAACCTCTACATTGTGTGTAAATTTCTCGATGAAAGGACTGAAAGAAACGGCCCAAAATGACTTGTTGGTTACGTTGTCTGGTTACGTTGACTTACATTGTAAGTAATACAAGGTTTTTAGAGATATATTTCCCCAAAACGTTAAATTTGGTAAATAAACAGTAATTGTGCATTACAATGTGCCGACGTGTGTCTCTGTAGAGCAGGGGTGCCAAACCCAACCGCTAAAGGGGCCGTTTTAAAAAACCTCAACAAATCCAGAGAGTGTTTATAATTTAATATGTCAAAATGTCACCAGAAAAATACAGACACTTGTAGTAAAAGTTCAAATGTTACATGTGAAAACGTGATATATTTAGGCTACATTAACTACAGATAACTATTAAATCTCTTCCCCAGGATGGAGGTCTTTTAACCCTACCTGTGTTCGGTCTCGACACCTGACATCTTTTCTTTGCTGCAAGTTCATTAATTCTTAATCAGTTTCTGAGCTGCTGAGTGTTTATACTGTTTATAGTGTTTATGTTGGTTGAACTGCAGCTAAAACACAGCTGGTGTGTTTGGTGATACGACGTTTGCGCAACGTCTTCCTCTCGTCCATCTTTAATAAGGACATGTGAAGGACGTTTTCCTGAGTCTGACATCATTTTAAAGTAATTAAAAACACAAGCGCTGCTCACTGCTGCTCGACTCACTCTGACTGGACTCACGTGATGCTCGCTGTCATGGTAACGTCTACACTTAGTGGTGCTCTACTCATGCACATAATTTTGGATCGGATTACTTGTAGTGAGCATGTAAACAGAGATTTTCAATCACATTGTTGAGTAGAGTGAGAATAAACACCTCAGTCTAAATCTATAATCGGAGTGAATTCAACCAGATTGGCAAAAATCTTTGCATGTAAAGACAGACACTGTCACACTCCACAGCCCTGCAGCGATGACTGGCGGTCAAAATGAGCCTGAAGCCCATTTAGAGTTAATTTGAAAGCAGAATATCTCCAATATTAATGATACTGTATCCAGAATTACTTCTATATTAATTAATGCAGCTATTAATACCGTCTGCATGAGACGTAGAGCAAAGCAGTTTCACTTTAGTTAGTCCATTTAACGTTTTCTATCTAGAAACACTACAAAATACAACAATAGCGCTGCACTGTGTGATCTAGAACCATATTTAAACAGCACACGGACTACATTTCAAGCTGTAGTCAATCTGCTAAAGTCAACAACTAAGGTCACCCACAACATCGCTCACTAGACCTCGGCTCGCTCTGCGGCTGCTGCACCTGACCCTCCTATTCTTTATCCAGCAGTGATAAAGAGCAGCCTGCTGAAGGGCTCTGTGATTAATTAAAGGTTAAAAATAAAGTCTCTACAGACGGAACAGGGCAGCAAACTTATTACGGAGCGAAAATAAAAAACAAAACATTAAATCACTCCCACTACAGTTCGACTGGGGGCAAAGAAATTAATTTAATGAGTCTGATAAAGCGCCGGAAACGAGCACAGACGTCTGTGACATCTGACACAATAATAATTAAGGTCTTTCTAATAATTAATAACAATTATTTTTGCGAAAGAGTGTCAAAGCCCTTAAGAACCATTCAAGAAAACACTGCAGTCACAGTCTCAGCCTTACCTGGACGAGGAAGATGATGAGGAAGTAAAAGTTGGCTATTCTTCTGAACTGTTCGAACAGATTCTTGGGGATGAAGTTCCATACTGTGTACTGCAGAGGGAGAACACACAAATCAGGATGAATGAGCTATTTACTGCACCATCACCCAGAGCAAGAGGAAAGAGAGAGAGTTCATGACCTCAAAATTTCATACTACGCTACTTGAACTACACGCACACCGCACTTTAATGCTATTCCAAACTGCTGACTGACTTCATATATATACTCTGACTGTGTAAACTGAGTCTGTTCTACAGTTTCTCATTAGGTTGAATGAATAACCGACTCTAAATGTAGGTATTGTGATATAAACTGAGTCTGTTCTACAGTTTCTCATTAGGCTGAATGAATAACTGACTCTAAATGTAGGTATTGTGATATAAACTGAGTCTGTTCTACAGTTTCTCATTAGGCTGAATGAATAACCGACTCTAAATGTAGGTATTGTGATATAAACTGAGTCTGTTCTACAGTTTCTCATTAGGCTGAATGAATAACCGACTCTAAATGTAGGTATTGTGATATAAACTGAGTCTGTTCTACAGTTTCTCATTAGGCTGAAAGGGATTTTTCACCAGCATTCTGTAAAACACATTCAACATAGCAACAGTAGGTCAGCTGAAAACTAACTGAGCTAAATCAGGCTAGAAACACCTTCATTACAAATGCCACATACTGTCGTCATGTGACATAAGACCAACTGGAATGTATAATGTGTTTTAATATGGTACACTAGTAACTAGTGCCTTTGTGGTTGTGTTTTAGACCAGTGGTTTTCACTGCGGGGCGCAGTGTAAAGACAACTGGGTCATAAGGAAGCTGCATATTTGTCATGTGCCAGACCAAGCAGAGTTAAAGGGTCCATACCCCACATTTTTCACCTCTACCCCCGAGGTTGACATGACACTGCCGTGGGTTTTCTGCCCCAAAAACTAATTCATATTTTATTTTTTCATGTTTTTATTACTGTCTCTTTAAGACTAACATACACACCGATCAGGCATACCATTATGACCACCTCCTTGTTTCTACACTCACTGTCCATTTTATCAGCTCCACTTACTATATAGGTGCACTTTGTAGTTCTACAGTTACAGACTGTAGTCCATCTGTTTCTCTGATACTTTGTTAGCCCCCTTTTACCCTGTTCTTCAGTGGTCAGGACCCCCATGGAGCCTCACAGAGCAGGTACTATTTGGGTGGTGGATCATTCTCAGCACTGCAGTAACACTGACGTGGTGGTGGTGTGTTAGTGTGTGTTGCGCTGGTCTGAGTGGATCAGACACAGCAGTGCTGCTGGAGTTTTAAACACCTCAGTGTCACTGCTGGACTGAGAATAGTCCACCAACCAAAAATATCCTGCCAACAGCGTCCTGTGGGCAGCGTCCTGTGACCACTGATGAAGGACTAGAGGATGACCAACACAAACTGTGCAGCAGGAGATGAGATATTGTCTCTGACTTTACATCTACAAGGTGGACTGACAAGGTAGGAGTGTCTAATAGAGTGGACAGTGAGTGGACACAGTGTTTAAAAACTCCAGCAGCACTGCTGTGTCTGATCCACTCAGACCAACGCAACACACACTAACACACCACCACCACATCAGTGTTACTGCAGTGCTGAGAATGATCCACCACCCAAATAGTACCTGCTCTGTGAGGGTCCATGGGGGTCCTGACCACTGAAGAACAGGGTAAAAGGGGGCTAACAAAGTATCAGAGAAACAGATGGACTACAGTCTGTAACTGTAGAACTACAAAGTGCACCTATATAGTAAGTGGAGCTGATAAAATGGACAATGAGTGTAGAAACAAGGAGGTGGTCATTATGTTGTGCCTGATCAGTGTACGTACAAGAGCTCTGTTCTGATTGGCTGCCCTGCTTTGTGACTCATTCTAAAAGCAGTCTAATAACCTCAGTGCTAATGGGCAGGGCTAAACCGCTGTAAGCTGAGTAGGTGGATATAGCCACATGCAGGTTTCTGTGACCTCACAACTGAAAACATGCTGCTTTTGCAGCCAATGTTTGGACTGGACACAGACCTGTACGTTTACAATGTTTAAATACAGCATCAAACTGGTATTTAAAGAATAATGTGAGGAAAATGAATTTGTTCATGATGTTGGCCCTTTAAATAATGCAAATTTACAATCAATAGGAGGCACATTCATCAGGGCCCAGTGCTCAGAGAGCAAGCCAGAGTGATTCTTGACTGACTAGGAGAGCTTGTGGCTGTGACATCATGACTGGCTTCAGGCTGAGGCTCGCAGGACTGTCAGAGGAGCTGGACAGCCAATGATGGATATTCTTGTTAAGGAGGCGCAGGGCCACTGTGGGTTTGCTCGGTGTCGCCCAGCGCTGCTCCTGGAGAAACTTAACAGAAAGATGATTTTGAAAAACTGGGCTGTTCAGCTTGTTAACAACGCTGACTACGTGTGATGGGTGTGTTAAAGCAGTTAAAGGACCAAAATGCGCAGGGCAGTGTTTCTCCTACAGTCCTGCGAGCCTCGGGTCACAGTGTTACTAACATTGGTGTGACAGCCACAAGCTCTCAGTCGGTCAAGAATCACACACATAAAACTAGAGAGGCACAGATACCACTTTTTACCCTTCCGATACCAACACCTGATCATTTAGTGTCAGCCGATACCGATACTAACTCTAACTTGCCTATAAGTCCTGATAATTATACATTTTTACAATATTTTATTTTGGAAAAATTTATGTTCTGTGTCACAAATAGAAGGCATTTACGTGCTGGATTATATGTATTAGATGCTTAAGAAAACAGATTTTTCATCATGTGCATTTACTGTATATATTTAGTAGTATTATTATATAATTAGTAATGAGAAACATGTCAACAACATAAGTAAATGTAAAATATCTTTATTGTGCAAAACAGTTAAAAACAGAACTGAACAGTATACAGATAAATGTCTTGTTCATTCACTAAGCATCAGTGTCAGTTCAGCAAATATCACCGTCGTTCACGCTGTCAGTATCAGCCACTTTCAGTTTTTTCTGGCTTGGCTGCTATGCTAAAGGCAAAATCAAGGCTAAATGCTATCACTATGTTGAGAGTCCAGCGGTTCCTTTTATGCTCTCAATAACATTAACTAGTTCTTAACTCCAAAAACCGCTGTTACAGATTCGGTCATGAGCATTTTTACTGCTGCTTGTTGTCCGACACTATCAGCGTGTTGTTAAATTGTGTGTACTGGCGCCCACACACGTGCCAAAAATTGCTTTGTGGTACCGGTCATATGTATCGGTATCCCCATCACCGATACCGATATTGTGTTTAGGTTCCGATACAATATTGGTATACGGTATTGGTATCGGTACAACACTACATAAAACAAGAGCTCCTTAACAACTGCTTACTATTTATAACAGGCGTGTTAAAGCAGGTAAAGCATTGAAACGTGTAGGAGACCAGCATTTCTCCGACAGTCCTGCCTGAAGCCACTCACAGTGACACAAACATTGGTGTTTGTGCAGCTATGAGCTCTCCTAGAATTACCTCCACACGAAACAACACACTCACTTTGGACAAAATTGTCCTCGACCTGGTTAGCAAGTGTTAAAAATGTTGCTATTGTCGGCTCCGTATTGTAAACAAGCCTCTAGCTTGGGCTGGGTGACAAATTAAATTTTATTTTCAATTATGATTTTGACTTCCAACGATTATGACAGCAAGATAATCGAGACAAAATGATTATTGCGCCACATTCTGTTACACAATGATGCTCTGGATTATATAAATCCAGTGCACCCCTTCCCTTTACAGCAGCCCCTCCCTAAAAGCCCAAACTTATCTCCTTTATTTTGGGCTTAAATTATTTTTATTTGTTCTTTTTATATTATACATTTCTGTAAAGAGCTGCTTTGCACAGCCAGCTAACCTCTTACACCCATAGGCATATTTCGGTTTTTCCATCTGAATTTACGTGCCCAAATCGTGAGGCAAATTAATCAGTAACTGCATGAAATAAATGTAATTTTTTTTTTTTTTGTAAAAGTTCCCCTCAAATTAACAGAACATGTGTTTTATGATCACACATATTGCTATATGCTTACAATTTACTGCTGAAAGCCAAAAATCTTAGACGCTCTTTGTATTTTTTTATAAAAATAATTTTACAGAGCAGATCACTGAAGAGACGCCATCCGAGATCTGTAGCTTAGATTTGTGGAAAAATGGGTCGACTTTCAGTATGAAAAAAATTGTTCAGTTCAGCTTCTTTTATAATAAATTTTTTAAATTACATCACCCATCTATTACACTGGAAAAAAGACAGTCACAGCTCTCACACCCACCTTTTGAATGAAGATTGAAAGTTATATGAAAGTTATGAAGTAAAGAATACGACGAAGTGCATTTTGGAACCACCGGTGGTTCAGAGGAGTTAAGGAGACTAATGCTAACAGCTGTTTAAACAGCTGCTTGTGTCACTGTTTATTCGTCTTTAGCTGCTGTCATTGTGATCAGTGCAGCTTCCTGAAGCCCCCTAAAGCTACGCAGAGCTCAGATTCATTTGGGATCCAAAAAGTGAAAATTATTACAGAAGAGGAAACTGAGATGAGCTCCTTGACGACGTTGTGCTTCCAGGACAATATAAGTGAGACATCAAGTTGATCAAGTTGACTGTAACCGTAATGGCTACTTAAGCGTTAACGTTTAAAGGCTCAACATTCACACAACAGATAAAAAATATCAAACATATAATAAAGAACCCTAGTTAGACAGAAAAATGACATATCTAGCTAGATCTAAAAAAAGAACAGCAATTGCAGCTGGAAAAATTATACAAAGCTAACAAAAACACTGCAAATATGTAAATTACACCTCATAGATGACTTTACAGCATGAACGAAACGGTGTATCAAAAATATGAGCAGCTATCTTGGCTAACTAGTGGAGTAAATGAAGGTGTTTCGTTGTTTTTTAATTGCTTCATTAATGTAACTGTCAAGCTGCACAGAAATTATGTTGCAGGCAACTCAACATGCAACTCGTTGCGTTTCACAGTGTAAAGCCAGCCAGCTTAATTATTTTACTTGTGGTGGACGAACAGTACGTCATATTGTGGGTTCTGGCGTGAAAAGGCTCAGGAGGCTCCGCTCTGGATGCTTATAAGGAGAGTCACAGTGTCCAGTCTTACCTTTGAGGAGATGATTCTGTTGTCTGCAAACCTCTGGGGGATATAATGCCCGTGCTGAGGGAAGCGGTTTGCGATGTAAACTGTTCTGGTGTCGCTTTGATGAGGAGGGTCAAAGCCCTGCAAGAAATGAACAGAACCAGGTCAGTGTGGGGGCGTCCAGACAACCGGCCGTCAGAGCAAACGGCTTCTGTTAAAGATCACTGACACTGACTGCGCATAAATGCACCATTTCCTTATAGGTTATATACTCTTAGGTTTATATTTACTATACAATTTTCAATACTTTAAGATGCTTCAATGCTTTAAGATATCTTGACTGTGCAGAGTGCTAATTCTATTCCACACAGACTGGACTGGCACTTTTTTTTAAAACAATTCACAACCCCTAGAATTTATAAGGTCTTCAAAAAAGTAATTTAAGAATGGGTGTGTCCATATCAAAAGCCCCACCCCCTCTCCACCCACTTTACTCTCATAGGCTGCACCCGGATGTCCAGTTCTGATCACTGGCAGCAGTTTCAATGAAAGACAGTAAATGAGAAACACTTTGAAGAGAGTGAGGGGCGAACTGGCCATCCAGCATTTTGATACTGTACTGAAATCGTACAGGCTACTGCCAGGGTGTCCGATCTTATCCACAAAGGGAAGGTGTGGCACTCCAACAAAGCAGGAGATCACCTGATCAAATGTCTGAAGACCAAGGCTACGTTCACATCACCAGGCTGAAGTGGCACAAATCTGATTTTCTGTCCTAAAGTGACTCAGATCTGATGTTTTCAGGGCTGTGTGGACAAACAAATCTGATCTTTTCAAATCCGACCTGAGCCACTTTCATATGTGGTCCTAGATTGGATACGTATCCGATTCGTGACCATGCGACCTTAATGTGAAGCTCAGATCAGAATCCATGTGCTTTTTTTCCACTGCTCCATCGTTCAGCGTTACCATGGCAGCAGCGCCGAACAGAAGTTAAAGCCTGTAAACGGTGGAAAAGCAGCTCATCTCACCTTTTTCTCCTTCGTCTCGCTCTAATAATGAAGCTGAGAGCTGATCAGAGTTAATGATCTTCTCAGCGAAGCTCGTTCTGCTCGTTAGTCACTGACGTTACTGAGTAGGATGAGCTCATGAGGGTCATTTCAGGACACCGGTTCGTCACATTAATGACAGATTTGAGTCACTTAAATGAGTGTGATTTACATGCACTCAGTAATCCGATCATAATCTGCTTATTCAGACGGTCATGTGAACAGCACACTCCGAATTCTTAGATCAGGTTTAGAAATCCGATAAAGAGGCTCAGTGCATGTGAACTCATTTCTCAGTCTGCGCATGCGCAAAACAGACCGCGCTACTGGAAAAAAGTGAGCAGCAAAACACTTCTGAAGCGACGATGAAACCGACTACATGATTGAAGAAATGAAGAATTTAAATATTCTTCATCTTCTAGCTGATGCAAGTTCATATTTTCAGGAAAAGTGGCGCAATGTTTTTAAACAAACACGCCAGCATGAAATTTAAGTTTTACGTTACGTTTACGTCACGTTTTCCTCTGTGGGTTTATTGGCTGGTTGTAAAGAAAATAGAAAGAAGAAATCTGATTACTGTCTGACTCACGCTGACCCGGAGTTTCCTATTATCTGACTAACCAGGTGCATGTAAATGTGTTGATCGGATTACTGACAAAATCTGATTTTCTGCAGTTATCGGATTATTAAGTGCATGTAAACGTTAGAGAGATCGGATCTGAATGAAAAATTGTATTTCAGCAGTGAGGCTTGGAATGTGAACATAGCTTTAGAATAAGTGATTAAACAAGTGGAGTCAGGTGAGCTCCAGCTTGTTTGGAGAAAACGCTGCAGTCACACCAGCCGTTTGCAGATAAGATTGGACACCTCTGATCTACTGCAATTCTGACTTCACCAGAAATGGATGGTTCACTTCGTTTTTTACACTGGAAAACAGCAGTGAGGTCACAACAATTCAGGTATGAGTCACAAAACCCCACTGGAGGAACTAGCTGTGAAGCTGTGGGTCGTTCCCCAGTCACCATTTCACTCAGTCACTTCGTCAGTATTATATCATATTACTGCAATGGACAATAACACTAAGTCACTTTAAATAACACTAACACTGAGTCACTTACGTCACTTTAAAATGTATATATTCTTCACAGATTATCACTTGTTTAATATAAATATATTTGTACATAGTAGAGAAGTTTTTTTTTTTTTTTCTTCTCATATAGGTCCCTCCTGTCTCTATATTTTGTGTACGTTTTGTGTATATTTAATATATTTCAGTTTCAGTATTTTCTTGTATTTTTATTTTTACTTCTTATTTATTTTTACTTTGTTTATTTCTGTAGAGTGATTATCTGAGCCTCACCACAAGCATTTCAATGCATAAATGTCCTCACATGTTGTGCAAATGACAAATAAACTTGAAACTTGAACTTGATAACTGAACTTGAAACTATTTATGCATACACACACACACACACAACAAAAGCAATACATCAGGCCTTTCTTTGGATGTTTACATTTGAAAATGGCCCCAGCACTTGAATTTGGCTGAAAAGGAAGCAGATACTTGTACTAAATGTTATTAAAATCGATTATGACGAGGTCTAGCTTTCCAAAATCGATGCAGCGGAATCTCTACAAACAAATTAATGCATCTGGACACTAAACAGTCCAGTTTAAGACAGGAAACATTATACAGCTACATTCCCAACATGACGCTGGAGATTTAAATCAGCGTGTTCTGTATTCTGGGTTGTGGAGCTCAACAAATGAATCACAGTCCATCTCTCAGCTGAGGACAAGTTAGCTTCCCATCAGCCACAGCGCAAACCAGACAAATTCAATAGGACAGGAGCTTCGCTTCTGCAAACACTGTTCTTCCTCAACAGCTTCTTTTGTTGGCTTTTTGCCTTTCTTTCTTTACCACCAGTCAGTCAGATGTGACAAACCTCATCCACATCACTGTTATCGAAAAACACAACACCACACCGAGTCTATCAGAACAGTCGCCACTGATCTGACTTTTTAAGTAGTTTAAAAAATATAACGCTGTTGTTGGAAGAAAACCTCCTATCTCTAAAATGGTAACTTTACAGGAGAAGGAAAAAAACGACTCTACTTTTAATGTAAGTCAATGGAACCAGACTTTTATCCAAGTCATTTTAGGCTGTTTCTATTGGTCCATTCATCATGAAATTAAACACAATGTAAAGGGTAACAGGCATTTTCAAATTATGTCAAAAACTGAAAAACGACAAAAATGGAGATACTGAGCTGATACTGGTCGTTACTGAGCTAGGAGAATAAAAACAGGCTAAAATATGGTGGGTGTGTTCTGCTGTGAGTCGCTCTGTAGAGCATGAAATAATCATTTAAAAGTCAGAGGCGTCGAGTCTTTCACACCACATTGTCTTTACATATTAATGTCACACACACACACTCAAAAAGAAGGTCCGGCTCGATGTTTAGGCCTCAAATGATCTCAAAATCGACATTATAAAACAGATATTTACCCCTTCTGAGGTCTCCATAAGCTTCTTCTAAAAAAGACTACATCTTCCACAATGCAATGCAGCAGTCAGCTACTCCTAGGAGCGTTTAGATACTACAAGAGGTGCAATGAAAATCGTTGCTGTCCAAAGAAAACCATGTATTTGCATTTTTATCGATTTTTACTTTTCTACTTAATTTCAACACCCCAGAACTTCTTTACGGTCTGTGAAAATTTCATGGCGACTGGACAAATAGAAATTCCCCGAAATCATTGGAATAAAACCTCTTTACATTAACTTACAATAAAAAGTAAGACCATTTTTGCCCTCTTCTGTAAACTTACTGGTTTGGAGATACTTGTTTTTCTTTGGACAGCAACAACACTTGTTTTGAGTTTGTTGCTGAGCACTCAAAACCGGTAAACTACCCATTTACGCAGGATTATAAAACGGAAAGTTCCAGTCCTAAAATCTGATTGGCTGAGCTACGTTCGAAGCCACTGTAAAATTCACGATATACATACACCAACCGCATCACTACGCCACGTCACAAAAAACCCGTGTGCTGTTAATGGAATAATCTTTGACCCTAATGCTGCTCACATGGAGCACCGAGTATGATGAAGTAAGAACCCCTTTTTTGTTTAAACTGAGTGTCTAGCAGCTTATGTTCTTGTCTAGAACCAGGCTGGTCAGCTAGCTAACAGGCTAAAAGAGCCAACAGCCTAAACAACTCCATCATTAATATCTCAGGATTGAATTAAAGCACTTACGGTATAATTAACTGTATAAGGAGGGGGTTTTACTCCGCTTCGCGTCGTGCCTAAGAAAACCCTTCACTGAGATAAAACCACAGTAACACAGAGCATCTCAACAAGGCTTACTGCTTTATTATACAACAGTGAGTTCCGGCCACGCGAGCTGATTGGTTGAGCAGCGTTCTGTTATTTCACCATAACATCACAGGTTTTTCACATTCACTGTATCACTCCGCTGTATCACTCCGCTGTATCACTTAGTTGCTAAGCAACGACTGTGACAGCTGTAGGAGGCGCTCAAGACATTTGAACGTTTTTACTTCTTACTTTGCCACAAACAGAAAATGGACACTTTTAAGATCACATTTGACCGGCAGCCGATTTGGTCAGACTCTGAAGATGAGACGACACTAAATTCCCAAACTGTCATCACCACTGAGCAGCTTTTCAGTCGGCAGCTGTGACAGAAGAACAGCTAAACAACCTGGAATCAGCCAGAAATGAACCCAACACCATTCGCCAAACGTGTAGTCTGATCTTCAGAGTCTGATCAAATCAGACTGAGCCATAAAACTGCTTCAGTAAAAAACAAAAAAGCTGCTCAGTGGTGATGACAGTTTGGGAATTTAGTGTGAGGAGCTGGAGAACGAACTGCCGGCTGTGCAGCGAGTGGGCGGAGCTCGTTACTCTGACGTAGCAACAAGCTGCTCGTTAAGGAACTATAATTTGGTGAAGGAACTGCGAACATTAAAACATATTAAACGCCGCGTTCACGGCCCAGTTTATTAATTTATTACTTTATTTATTTAACTGCTGTATAAAAGCAATAGAACACTCGAGGAGTG